AATTAGCCTATTATCTGGGTAGAAGAATGTTGCAACTAGACAGAGAGGTAGCAAGTTTAGAGGCAAGGAGGCTGTCAAGATGCTTAAGGTAGGCCAGTGTGAGGTTTGTTACCTAGAATAAAAAAGAAGGGGCAGATTCTGGGATTAAGCAATTGAATTTGGTGATTAACTGAATTTGGGAAATGAAAAAAGTGTCAAATCTGCTTGCCTTTGACCCTACCTTACCCTAAGATTTACACATCAGAAGATAGAGAATTAAGGACTAGAGAAAGGTGACATGATCAGAGTCTTCCCAATTTTTAAAACATACAGTTCTATTTCTCTCCCAACAACTTCAAATAAGGAAATAAAGTATTAAGCTGAAGAAAACCCAGGATGTCAATGGTAACATTAATTACCTGGCATCTCATTCTACTGCGTTGTTGTTGGAGCAAGATGTTTAATAAGTTACATTTAGTTAGACATCCAGGATGCAACTATTTCTATTTCTGCATCCCAGGATTCAATTAGACAAAACAAACCCACTCCACTGGCATGAAACAGATAAAAGGGCAATGGACTATAAGTGGTTACCAGGGTTCTGGTCTCAGGTATAAAACGAACTTCATTGTGTCACTCTGGGATGTGTGATTTCCCTGAACACAGATTTCCTCGTCTGTAAGACTGGCCAGAAGGAGAAGACAAGGACTGGGAGTGACTTCTACTTATGTCCAGCAGAGCACTGGGATTCTGGGGAGATATTTCAGGGGGTTCCATGGAAACAAGGGAGCTGTTGAGTGGGCAGCCTCCCATCCACCTCCCGTAGACCCCTCACCCTAAGATGCTCCACTTTACCATCTACTACATCAGGGATCAAAATGACATTAAGTCTTGAGTATGACCCTAACCTTCATTCACACAACTCATTAAAAATAACAAGTTCTAGAGGCTAAGAATCTTGTCTGATTCAGCTGCTTGATTTCCCACAGAATAATATTACACATTGACAGCTGTGTAGATTCATAAGTTAACATCACTCTATGATCTTAAATTATTTTTCACAAAAGCAAAAATGACTCACCATTTTACAATTTGAAGAAAAAACTGAATTTTCATTTCAGGAATAAACTTTGAGGTTGGAGGAACATAACCAGAAATGTTAACCAATAATACAAAGGGCTGCAGGTACATACTTTAGCCTTATCTTAACGTTTTGTTTTAAGAAGCAAGTACTACTTGTGTGATAAAATGCCAAAAAAAAAAACACAACAAAAACACCACCAAAAACCTCTGACAACTGATCTCTTCACAGCTGAGAGCACAGGGACTATGGTAACTTCCCAGGACTCCCTGACCTCAGGGCCCCCAAGCCACATCAACTAGCGAGTACCCAAATCTGACATCATTTCACTACCGGCCTACACTTTGCAATTGCAGAAGCTTGGATGCAAATCAGAGGATTGGGTTGACTCCTCTCTAGAAACAGAAGAAAACAAGTTGGTGGACCAAAATGAAGACACTCTAGTGTGGAGGTTTCCAAAGTTCTTATTTGCAGTGGATCTTGAGAAAATTAACTTACTGGATTTTTCTATTTAGTACTGTTAATTTGGAGAGTATTATCTATGAACTTAAATGTTATTAACATAATATTTGAGGTTAATTTGTTATTGTTTTACCCACCATAGTAATGGGGTTTGAGTGTATGTATGAACGTTTTGTTTCTATTTTATAAATCTTACATGTGTTTGTTTACATGTCACAATGTAAATGGTGTTTCTTACTGGGAGCTGTGAAAAAAAAGTTTGAAAAACACTGCTTTGGTAGCTACTGGGAATGAGAGAGGAAGCAGGTCTTCACCAGTCTGATCTTAGAGACGTTTTGCTAAGTTTGGTTTAAAAATAAAGAAGCAAGGGCAGTAGGGAGGGACCCAGTATTTCCTGAGTGATGACCATGCTGTCGACATTGTGCTTGATCTTAACCCACTTAACAAGAGTTGGCCTTTTGGTGGGAGGAAAGGGAGTGGGGTAGAAAAAGGGCTTGTCAGGAATTTTGCCTGGATGAAGGGAGATTCATTCAAAGTTAGACCTAGTAAGAGGCAGATTCTGAAATACAACCTGACAATCACCTATTAACTGCAGTTTCTTACCTGCAGGTGAAGGAGGCATGGAGAAGCCTAAATTGTATCTTTAAAGTTAGCTTTATCAAATCCTACTTGGGTCTAAATCATAACTACCATGGTCATCATGGCGGACATTTATTAAGCTCTCACTTTATTCCAGGGACTGTATTAAGTGCCTTAAAAATCTTCATTTAATTTAATCCTCACAAAAAACCTTATGAGATATGTACTATAGTCATCCCAGTTTACTGGAGGTTTTTAGCAGTTCAGTAAGTTGACCAACATCATGGATGCAAAACCCACATGCATATTAAAATAGTTGAATGCAGCTTTATTTACATTTCCTGCACATATTCATTGAATATGCTTGTTAAGAGCTACTTCCCCTTCAAAGTGTTGGAGTCAAAACAGTTGAAATCTCAACTTCTTACCTATGAAATAAAGGTGAGATTAGATGTACACTTAGGTCTTTTTCACATTTAGCATTCTCTGGTTCTATTGGGTTGACCAAGAAATCCATTTGTTTTATTCCATAAAATAAGAGACACATTTTTTATTTTCACCAATAATTTTATTGATTTGGATATTTTGAATATGTCCACTATCTCCTGCTATTGGCTTCTAGTGGGCCAGGGATGCTGCTAAATATCTTCCAATACATAAGACAGACCCACAGCAAAGAACCATTTGGCCAAAATGTCAATAGCACCAAGAAACTTTGCAAACCGTTTTTGACAAGTATGATCAGTCATAGCACCTTCTCCATACACTGCACAAAACTTTTTTTGCGTTTCACTTGCATTTTTATCTTTCTTGAAATAATAAAGAATATGCTGAAAATGTTGTGCATTTTCTTCCATCCTCAATATTAAAATGGCTGCACAAATATTCACCAATTTTGATGTTTTTTTTTTTAATGCATGCTGATATGACAGCTGTAACAATACAATCTAACAAAATCTTTCAAATGAACTTGAAGACAACTAAGCACTACTAGAGCTATAGTACAGCAAAAACTAAATGAACCTTTTGGCCAATCCAATAAAACATGTCATGCATTTAAAAAATGTCAGGCAAATACAGCAGTCTCTATTACTTTACTTAATATCCTGGTTGCTCACACTGCATGGCTAGTTCATAAACACCTGGTGCTCCACTTTCTGAAGTCCTGGTTCATTCGGCAATTTGCTTACTAGAAAAATATACCCTTTGGTTACCATCACTGTATTTGAAAAATGTTAATTGTTCAATATTCTTTATGAAAACCAAATAGCTTTTAAAACATTATGCTGGTGATCTAAGGATTGGGGTTTATACCCTACCGCGATTTTTCGTCTCTAAGGCTTCTTTTCTTATCCTATTGACCTGGACAACTGCTGACTACAAAGTCTATGCTGTCCACTCCCTGGCTCCTTTCAGCTCAGGAGCACTCTGGGAATGGGGTACCCTGGGGCAGAGGTGGTGGTAGACCTCTGTTTTCCTAAAAAGGCAGCGCAAGCAAATTTAGAAATCTCTAGCTGCTGTGGACTTTGTGCTGAACACACAAGGCATCAAAGAGAAAACTGTGCAAAACTGTGGGATTTTTATGAATTTGCTTTCATAGTCCAAGCTGCTGACTGCCCTGGTGGAATTTCAGGCACTTTGATTTAGGGGAGGTTTGGTTCATTTTCTTGTGTATCATAGGTGTCCAACATGTAGTCTTGTCAGTTTCAGATAATTTGTAGGCCCTACATCCTGCAGAAAATGTAGTAAGCTAGAGGACCTTAGGGATACCAATTTTCTAGTTGTTCTACCCTTTTGCAATCCTCCCTCCCGTGGCTTAATTAAGCTTAAGTTATTGTAGAATCTTGTCTGAATGAATTTTCATAACATCAGAGTGATTTTAATGTCCTAGTGAGCTTGTAAAAATGGAATTCTGCCTGTACTTTCACATTATATCTTTTCACAAAAATACAAGACTCAAATTGGTCTGTGGGCAAATTGAGCTGACCTCCCACTGACAAAGGTAAGAGGGCAGTTATTCCCAAAAGGGAGGGAGAAAAACATAAAACAAAATAAAACAGGACAGAAATCTAAAGTGCAACAATAGGTTCTGGTTTGCAAGATCACACCTACATCCTCACTGAAAAGGGCTGAAATGCCTTCATTCTGCTACCCTTTGCTACCAGGTTTTATTCATGCAGATACACATTTCTGTCACATTCCCAGGAGATAGAAACTGAGACACACAAAACCATGCTTTCCAAAGCAGAGAGGGGCTTGCCATGGAAGTTAAAGTCGAAGGTGTGATGGTTAGGTGGACACTTGAGGGGGTGATATTAAGCAAGGAGGAAGTTAGGAAGGCGGGTGAATAGCAAAAAAGTATACAAGTGACCCTGAAGATGGTTAGCAAAGAGCTAAATGTTGTGGTCCTATAAAATAGATTCTGTATCATAATTAACATCCATTATATAATTAAGGACACACTATAATCTCCCAGGAGTGAAATAAATGCATTTCTGAGCCCATAGAGTTGTCATCATATCCAAAACCTAAAAGCAAGTATCAGATGAAAGCAAAAAGTAATTAGGAATTGTTAAAGTGGTGTGGCCGCGTCTATCAGTTCAGCAGTAGAGACTAAGTGCCTAATGACTGCAGGAGGGGCAGCCCAGAGGTGGTTTTTTTGTTTTGTTTTGTTTTTGTTTTGTTTTTTTTCCTTAGTTGCACCTGTTTCTGAAGGGCCTGGGATAGTAAGAGAGGAAAACAACCGGTTCCCACGGGTGAAACTATCCAGTCCCCGCACCGCCTGGCGCCCGTGCCAAGTACCAGCGAAGCGCGGCCCAGGCCTGCGCTGCCCTGCCTGTGGCCAGCTCTGCAAGGCAGGCAACAATGGCTTCCAGTCTCCTTGGGCCCAGGCGCTCACCTTTTGGGAGCCAGGTGAAGAGCAGGAGCCAAGGTGCAGGTAACTCGAGGCCCATGCCGGGCCCTCTCTAACCCCTTTCAGCTCTGGCGCTCTGGGGCACTCTCTTCATCAGCTGCCGCCCAGGACGCAGCACTTCTGCGGGAATCCCTCCGCTTTCCCCTCGCTCGTCGCCGCGGCGGGAGGGCCGGTGCCGGGCAGCTAGCAGGTACTCAGGCTCATCTCCACCTGAGCCAGTGCCCGCGGCTCCGCCTCCCACACCGGCGCCGCCGTTTCCTGCTCCGCCCTAGGTCCCCGAAGACCGCGGCCACCTTTCCTACCTGCCAAGGCCCTCTCTGCAGGCTGCCAGGTATTTCCTCTCCTCACCGAAAGAGCGTCTCCTGCCACTCAGTCCTCTCGCCGGTAGAGAATGTTACCATTTTTCTCCAGAAGTTCTCAGGAACTCTTACCCCTAGATGATTTCTCCCCAAGTTTTTGTAGAATTATGTAAACATAACCTACAAGGGAGTATTTCCTGTATTATGTTTCCATTCACTCATACTTTCTCGGAAAACATCCCCGCACCCCCTACTAAAAACACATGAATATGAAGTTTACATTATGTTTATTTAGGTTTCCTAGAAACTAACGGTATAGGGTGTGAACTACAGAAATAAACTTAATTTTCGACAATTATAAAAGTAACATGTTTATTATTAGTTAGAAAAATATAAATTGGTGGAAGTAAAAATATCCTGTGGTACATTCTTTTCTATTATTTCCCATCCTGCATGCAGCTCAGCTGCCCCTCAGAGACCTTGGCCTTCCCAAGGTCAACGATTGTAGGTATCTTTACACCAGGCCTTTTAGAATATAATTTGTCTCTACTCCTTCTTTAGCGGGAAGCCACAGTAAGGGGAAAAGAAAAATAGAGGAGGGCACACTTGCCTTCAGCTACCAACCCACAACATTAATTTGGAAAATCACCTATACAGTGGTCAACGTAAATAGAAAGCAAGCTATTTTATATGCCTCTACCTTATCCGGGATTTTTCATCATCTTCCCCCTTCTGTAAAAAACACAATTCTCCTTCCTCCCAGCCACCATCTTTCTCCTCAAGAAAATAATTACAAAGATGCATTTAACATGGTTTCTGCTCCTCAGGGTTTCCATTCTAGTCACTAACCTTAGAGGTCAGTATTGTTTCTCCTAAGTGTATCCCAGCCCTGCTCTGTTCTGAAGAGTCCTCTTCACTGATGTTACTGGTGTCCCTCATCTCACCTCCACCCAGAGGAATATCCTTGTCCTGAATCTGATGGGGTTCTCAACACAGCCCTTTCTGCCCATCTTCTCTACTCCCCCTCACTCCTGGATCTAGCTTCTGATTCTCTAATTGGGCCTCTCCACTTTAAATGTTTTTCTTGTAGTTTCTCTTCCAGAAAATAGGAAGTAAATTCAGGAAGTCATGACCAAGGGCAGAAGGTACAGTATGTTTAGGAGCCTTTAGATCTTCCACAGTGGGGTCCCAGCAAGCAGCAGCAGGATACAAAGTGAGTGTTGGATCCTCACCCTCCAGGCTCCAGAGACCTTGCACATGCTTCCAAGGAACATTGTATGTGCTTGAGTGTCTGTGACCCTGAAGGATTTGTGTGGTTGCTGCTCAGTGAATTGTTTTAGGCAAATTCTCAGTTACAGTCTTGAAAGTATGAACTCTCTCTTTCCCATACCTACCTCCCATGCCCCTCAGCCTTGCTTTGGGATAAAGGCCATTTTAATATTCATTGAATCCAGCATTTCTCTATGTTTATTTCATGTAACAGTAGTTTCATGGAATGTTAATAAATAGTATAGGGATCAAATAAATTCAATAAATTCTGGATTAAACTAAATAAAATATTTTCTCAGGACTTGTCAAACCCTTAGGGTGCTAGTGTACATATGAATTTCCAAGGGAATATTTCTCAGCATTATTCAACCACAAAACCTTCCCCCCCACCCCGACCCACATATATCTTAGGCAAATATTCCATGGATATTTTGGGAAATCCTGGCGTTCTAAAAATAATTGAGGGGGATATGTTGGAGACTTCTATAGGAACAACAACAAAAAAATGGCTTTAGCAAAGGTTATCCAAATGCAGGAGAATTAGAATTTTTTAATTTTCTCTTGGGAATAACTACCTCTATTACTTCTCTTGGCGTGAACACTTTATGGTTAACTTTATATGCTTCTCAGGCTACTACGTGCAACTTTTTTTCTTCACCATTTATATATTATGCACCTATGTTCTATGTACTTTACATGCATTATATCATTAAATCCCCACAATAGCTGTATAAAATAAGTTATTATCAATCACATTTTACAGATGTGAAAGCTGAGGTACAAGGAAGTAATTTGCCCAAGGTAACAAAGCTAGTAAGTGGTAGAGTTATGATTCTAAGAGAGGTAGTCTGATTCCAGGCCTTATGCTTTTAGCTATTACACCATACATTCTCACATAGCTATGTCTCCATCTGTATTAATAGCTATTGCCTCTATCAGTGTGTGTTAATACAGTTTCTTTCCATAGATGTCATTTAGCTTTACATAAAGAAAATTCCATTCCACTGCCATGAGCTTTCCTCAGCCATTCACTGTGCCAACATATGCCATTGGTTCATTAAAAATTAGATAAGAGTACACATTTAACTCAGAACAAAAACAGTTCTTTCATTGCTAGATATAAAAGTAAAAATCACTTGACCTGCTGCTAGTGACTGAGACCAAAGTGTACTCATATGCAAAGTAATAATAACTATAATTTATTACATACTGTGGTAGGTGTTATTCTAAGCACATTTTTGTATTAAATTGAATAATTCTTGCAACAACACTGTGGGACAACGACCATCATTGTCCTCATTTTACAGCTCAAAAACTTAAGGCACAGAAGTTCAGTTACTTACTCAGGGTCACCCAGCTTGTAAGTAGCAGAGCTGAGATACAAACTCAGGCCACCTGCCTTCAAAGCATACACCCTTAATCACTACCCTAGCCATACTGTGCTTCTTTGTGTCACCTGGTCCAGGGTCTAACCACAAAGTACTGAGTTTATGATCTTATTGTTTACAATCATACTTGCTGGTTGAAATTGTGTCCATAAATTCTGAATACTGCATCTATATGCACATATGCCTCTGTATTTGAGAATAATGTGATATTTGTTCATCTGCAAGTGTATATTTATCAAGAATCTAGAAAAGAAATGTCAGAAAGGAAATAAACATGTAAATAAAAACATCCCCAGGCAGTTAAAGTTAAAGGGAGACATGAAATGAAAGTACTAATACTGCAACATTTTAATATAGTTGGCCATCTGTACCCAAGATTCCATATCCCAGGGTTCAGCCAATGTAATCTAGCAAATGCAGATAGCCAACAAAGGGAACTGAGCATCCACAAATACCGGTATCCATGTGGAGTTCTGGAACAAACCCCCCTGAGGTACAACTGTATGTATTATTCATCCTTGTATGTCTAGCATCTAGCATATACCTGGCATATAGATACTGCTCAATAAATATTTATTCAGCTCTTTATCCATAGTTCCTGAAGGAGGTGAGCTGTGAGTGGGGTTCAAAATGAATAAGACTTTGCAAGCCAAGCAGAGAGAACAGCACGTGAAAAATATTGTGGCACCAGGAAATACCATAGCTGAACTATAAGAATTTAAGATTTGCTAGACTATAGCACAGGGGTGGGAATCAGTAGGAAAGTATGTTAGAGAGTTAGCCAGGGTAAATAAAGGGCTTGCATAACCAGCTGGAGAAATAAGACTTTATACAGTACACAGTGGGAAGCCAGTGAAGGGTTTTAAGCCTGGCAAACATGATCAAACTTGTATTTTAGAAAAATAAACTTGGCAGCAGTGAGAAGAATGGTAGACAAAAATGAAATGAAAGGCAGGAAAAACAGGAAACTTGTTACTATAGTCAAAGTGATAGACACTGAGGGCTCAAGCCAATCACTGGTGTTGGGAAAGGAGAGGAGAGAATACTTAGCCTGATAAATTAGATGTGGAAATTGAAATAAAAATATAAGTTTCTGACTATTGAGCTGCAGTGGATGGTATTGCATTTACAGAACATAGATATGTAGAAAGGTTTTTTAATCACTTCAGGTACATTGTACCTGAAAGAATAGTGGACTATCCAAATGAAATTCCTATAAATGATTGGAATACTTCAATAAATGCAATTGATTGAATGAGGTTGGTAGGCCCTGCATATCTAAATAGGGAAGCCTGGTTCAGTAGGGTCCTTGGTGACCTGCTTCTTAGTTAGTAGGATATAATAAGATAGTTAATCATGGAGTAAAGCTAAAAGCAAGAAGAGGAGGAATCTAGTAAAAGAAGTCTGGAAGCAAATACGTTCATTATTACCACCCCTATTTAATATTTTACTGGCTATTATAACTAGCACAATAAGAAAATAAAAAGGCTAAAAATGAAGAATAAAGATGTTATTCTCAGTATTATGATTACACAAAATATTGAGAATCTTATGTATAAGGACCAACAAGAGAGGGTTGCTGGAAACAAGGACAATATATTAATGTCACTGACATTTATATATACCAGCAACATCCATTGGGAAGATATGACTTTAAAATATACATCTGCAATAGCAATAAATCTATAAAATAACTAGAAATAAACCTAACAATACTTGTGGAATAGTTTTATGTAGAAAATTCTTGAAAGTTACAGAGAACATTTTTTAAAGACAAATAAATGCAAAGATGTACCATGTTCATGGATAAGAACATTCAGTATTACTAAGGATGGTTATTTTATATATTTAATAATAAATCCTATATTTTTCTAACAAAAATATAAAAAAAACTTCTCAGAACTTCATAAGCAGTTTCTAAAGTTGAATGGAAATTATAGGGTGGTAAATAGCCAAGCTAACATTGAAGAGAAATAAGAAGGAAGAGAAATTTACCTCTTAAAATGATAACGCTAGAAGAATTAAAACAATGTGGCATTCACATATACCGGGTCTATGCATAAAGTATCCATGTAATATTGAAAACAGAGATATTTAAAGAAGAAGATACAGGATACAAGCAACATTGTACGTAGGACAATGACACCTCAGTCCCCTTCAAAGTAGGTACCTTGGGACCTCACAATTCTTCCAGTCACCATTAGCTGCTGCATTATATTTTCCTGAATTTCATC